CCCTCTATTTTGTAGAATTCCCTCTAATGAAGCACAATCAAAAAGTGATCAATTTTAAGTACTTTTGTTGATGATAACAAGTCACTTTGGGTATTCAAGATGAAAGCTTACCTGTAATATATTCCTACCAGACCTTAAGATACTGAGTGACAGGTAAACAATGAAAACAATAAATTTGACCTGGATAATCAGGAAGCAATGTATGTGAGAAAAGTCATATTGCATTTTATGTACAGATATAATGATGGGCTTCAAGCTAATATTTTCTGAGATGTGGAAATGAAATATTTCCATGAAAATATAAATTCATTGTTCAGCTCTAACTAAAGTGAATGTTACTACAAAAGAAATTTCAGTTATAAAAATTTGAAATATTTAATTTATTTACTGTTTATAGAATGAGTTCTAAGGGAGGCAAAAGGCATAAATGGAGTTCATATTGCAGAGAACAGACTACTGCAAAATGGGCTTCATAAGTAGAAGTGCATGACCATCAGTGAAGGTTTCAAATAAAGATCACAGTTTTGTCTGTAGTAAATTAATAATTAATTATTCCTTGAACTGATTGCTTCGTGCATAAAATGTCAAAATTACCCTATTGAATGTTAAAATGGACAGCAATTCTAATTACAGGACTACTTTTTTTTAAGAAATATAGGAAGGAACAAACATTTTTCATACTGCAAGTAAGCAAATGCAAGCAGCAAATCAACTACTAAAGCAAGGGTCAGAATTACTGCACTTCCACAGAATTGCAGGAGTGATAAGGACAAATGAGAACCAAAGCTAACTTAATTACACTCATTACACTGTGCGGTGTAATTACATTAATAACACTCTACATGGATAGTAAAGTGATTCTAGTATGGTTCAAACAAATACTCATCCTTGGGTTTAAAAGCAAAAACCATCCTATAAAATGATATAAATTTGTCTGTCAAAATATTTAAGAATTATCATCTTACAGTGAAGCTACATGAAAGCTTCACAGATTATTTGCACCCTGTTCTTTCTTTGGTGGACTTTTAATGATAATGGCTTATATTTGTTTCAATTTTTTTAATACCTGTCTGTGAGCAGAGGACAAGGTTTTCGTATTCAGAGAGACAGGGAGGAGAGTTCAGCTATTGTATAGTTGATGGAGGAGGAAAGAAATTAGATGTAGACAAGCAGGAAATATTAGCCTAGGGAGTTCAAACCCACACTACAGAGTACTAAGTGCTGCCTACCCTCACTCCTTTTATTAGAATCTCTCCTTTCCTTCTTCATAGCTATCTTTCCCAGCTCAGGTCCTGTACAGGTAACCCCTGATAATGGGATGGTGAGAGCAGTGGGACATATTTCTGGCAGATTCTTCCTTTCCCAGCATGGCAGCTATTCATCCTGGTCTTCTGCACCAATCAGTTGTCACAGGTCAGTCTCTCATGCCAAACCTTCTTGTGCTGGGTGACTCTGACAGGTCCATAAGCAGCATCTCTACTTCTGCTGACCAGTACAAACTACTGACCCAGGTGAATTAGAGATCCCATGGTGGATAAGAAGGATCAGGTGGGATGAAAAGAATACCTGTGAGGCGCTGGTTTCTTTGGTCGTGTTGAAATAATTAGGATTTCTACATCTCCTATGCCTAGAATACTTATCTATCTAATGTCTCAACTTTACCCATTTCCTCCTGCTGCTGAAAACCAACATAGCCATTAATAAAGTATTTTAAGTGTGAACATATATTCATTTTGCTACTTTACATTTCAGTTACTCTCCCAACACTTTTGCTGGTCTTCAAAACAGGTGACCAGTGCATGTGTCCAGGGTGAATCTTGCAGTTAAACTTTTCCACATTTTTGCTTATTCTCATTTTTGGTGTCTTCCATGGTATAATTTTCTTTTTAAAACTAATGTTTCATTCCATGTAAAAATTTCAGTTTCTGATGCTTTACAAGATGTTACTAACATCACTTGTTTCCTATGTGGGAAATGCTGGGTTCCTATGTGCAGCATTGGGTTCTTTGTAAAACAATCCCATGAACTTGCAATAAAAGAGATGAGATAACAAATGGATAGCAAATGTGACCAATACAATTAGATTTTAAATAAAAAATATGTAGCAGTTATGCCCTGGAGTCTTCCCAAATATTTAAGATTGATGTATCACCAGCAAAATTCATTCATTATACCCCTTGGATTTGTGATAATATATTTTAAAGCATTTTTTCTCCTGTTAGACTTTTTTATTACCCTCTTTGCATACTTGCAAATGTTTTGCATTGTTCACACTAGGTATATGATGCATTTTTTTTAAAAAGCCCCTCCACAATGACAGCCCTCATCACAGGAAAAGTTTTTTATAAAACTCTGCTTGACTGTCTTGCCCTCTGCTGTCAAATCTCCAAGTGATGCATTTAGGCAGCTGACAATGGAGTAATTTTCCACCTCACCAATCAAGAAAAGTTCATTGTTTTCATGTACACTTTCCTCACACTGTTTCCCTCTGTGGTTTTAACCTCTCTGAGATGAGAATAGGGTCCCTGTCCTGCATTTGAATAGCACTCAAAGCACAGACTACGAAAACTTTTACAGTGTTGTGATAAAAAATTAAGATGTTCTCAGCAATGAAGACAAAAAATTGAACTTTGGGTTGTAGTCTCCATTGACACAGATCCAGGTTAAATTGCTGTTGGCCTTCTAACTACAATATGTCACACCAACAACAGTATTTGCTGACAGTGGTTTTCTTTAGTAATTCAGAAGTCTGGAGCAATAAAGTTGTTTGAAAAAGGTAAACAGTTTAGCAGAGTGAAAAATTGGGTTGAGGCACTATTGCAGATGCTGGCTCTGTCCCTATCCAATATTTTCCACCAGGATAAAAATTAGACAATTATTTTGAGCATGCAAGGACAACACAGTAATGGGAAAAGCCATAATCAGAAGTATTTCTGAAGCCAAAATATTTTTTTATTTAATTCCATGAAAAAAAATGAAAGAAAATCTGGAAGAGAAAATGGTCATGTGAAAACATGACAAAACTGCAATTTACCCGAGTGTATCATCTCTCAGTTTCTAAGGCATTTGCTTCTTTACTGTGTTTCCAAAAACCATCCTCTATACTTGGTTCCTAAAATGTAGGACCATAAGCAGATCTTAACAACTTACATTTCAGGTTAAACAGGAAAGTGATTGTCTTATGCTACTTCATGGTTTTTCTGCTACTAACTTTAGCATCCCTGCATCTAAAAGTCATGATGGAGTATAGTGACAAACAAATGTGTAGATGGGTGGTTCGAAAAAGTTGGATGTATTTCCAGCTACTTAGAGCATGCTGAGCATCAAAAAGGGGCCAAACTGAAAGAAGGGATCCATGCCACAAATGTCTCAAAGAATAATTTTTTTCCAGAAAAAAATAATAAATCTAAGCAATTTGACTTCTGGGAAAGAAGAACTATGAGGTTTTATCCCTTTAATCATTTCATGATTTCTTTTTTCCCCTCATAAATATTTTAACTTGTCATACTAATCTCTGATTTGCATCTTTGTAACATCTGTGGATCTTCTCTAAGATAGGGACTTGATCACTTTTCAACTCAATAGAAGAAGATTTCTTTATTTTTTCAAAGGTGAAGCTCTTGATTTAGCACATTAGATTTGAGCTCAAAAATTTTATTAAATAACCCCAATTAGGTCTTCTCAGTGGAATTGAGATATCACAAAAAGTAATTTTCAGAAGAAAACCCCACAAGTGCTTGAATTCTTTTCAGTTCCTTGAGTAAAGAAAGGAGAAACCTTTTTTAGACTGAGAAATTAGCAAACCAGAGTGGAAAAATCAAAGTGAGACTAAAGAAAAATGCGTTTCTTGGAGACTGATTGTTCTGAGCCTCATCCTTTGTCCTCCCACTGAAGTGTTTTGGCCAATAATCCTTCTATGAAGTATGTTACCCACAGAGATCCAAAGATATCCTTCTCACCATTCAAATCACTGGCATTTTCAGTATGAGTATTGCTTTCAAGATGGATTAGAAGGAGACTTGAAAACTTTGCTCTTACCAGAAGAATATGATTACAGAAAGTTAGAAAACCAATCCAGTTAATCACAAAGAGGACAGGACAACCTCCTAGCTCGGACTATGGATGGAGTACTTCTAAAAGTTGGGGGTTGGACTGCTTAGAGCATCACAGGACACTGCACAGCTTCGGTGCAGTAATACACTGAATATATCGAAAGAAGGAAGAAAACCCCTTTGGATAACAAGGCAACTCTTTGCTATTTGGTGAGGAATCCCAGGGCAAAGTTTTCCTGCTACTTTGTAGTGGGAAAAGTGCTGGGCATAGAAGCTAAGGGGCTCATGAAGCCCACAGTGAGGGAAAGGGTAGAGATAATATTAAATCTGAAGGGATTATCTTGAATGGTCAGTTAATTTCAAGAATTGTGATTTGAGCATAGTAATCAATGTGTATTGTCAATTACTCTGGATCTGACTGTAAAACTCCCACTGGATACTAGGTTCTTTGAAAAGCAATCACATCAGTTTTCAATAGAAGAGATGAGATAGCAAATGGATAGCAAATGTGACCAATACAATTAGATTTTAAATTAAAAATATGTAGCAGTTGTGCCTGGGAGTTTTCCCAAATATTTAAGACTGATGTGTCACCAATAAAATTCATTCATTATACCCCTTGGATTTGTGGTATTATATTTGAAATCAATTTTTGTCCTGTTAGACTTTTTTATTACCCTCTTTGCATACTTGCAAATGTTTTCTGTTGTTCACACTAGGTACATGATGCATTTTTGTTCACACCTTATTCAACTAAAGAATAAATGGCTGAAAAAATTTACCTTATGAAAGTGAAATGCTGTAAAATATTAAACCCACATGTTTTAAGTTCTCAGTGGAGGATTATTTCAAGTTCACCAGTAGAATAAATATATATATTAAATAAGTGACCTCTAAATATACTTAAATAATCCCTCCTGTAAAATAGTTTATTTTTATGTTCTTTATTCCACCAAAACTGCATTGCAGTTTTCCAGTCTTTATATTTACATTATTTGCAACTCTTTCCATAAGTGCCGGTACAAATGTAACTGATGAAAATCCAGAATAGTCATACAAATGTTCCTGAAAGCAAGGTGCATTTCTGAGCAAATTTTTTTCTGATGCACAATAATATATATGTATATATTAACAAAGCTTCATAATATAAAATATATTCCATGGCAAGTAGAACTTCTCCACTTACAGCTTATTCAGATTTCAGTTACACAGACTTCTGCATTTCAAGTTAGTGCAAATAATGGGAATAAGAGCCTGAGCAGAACGATGTCAATACAACGGAACAAGAGAAACAGCAAAATTTTACCAACTCCCTGCATATGGTTATAACATTTAATCAGTACATCATTAGTATTCTTCATATACAATGCATTTAAATAATTGGCTTGTCTGAACTATAGGCAACAAATTTACAAAATAAAATAATGTTTCACACAAATATGGAATGTCGGACAAATATATGAAAATAAAATGCATCTAGTAACAAAACATTGTAAATCAAAAAGATAAAAGATGTCTTCTCCATTTTTGAAGATTTCAAGGCACTTTCTTGGCAAATCAGAATTCTCTCCTTGGTAGAAAGTCTGCAAAAGAAAAGGACATGCCATTTTATAGCTGGTTTAAAAACAGAGAAGCAGACTGCTCAACAAAATTCTGTTCATAAACCACAGTTTCCCGTGGATTGCATAAATCATAAGATTAACTTCAAATGCCAGTGGGTCTTGCCCTCCTGTGGGCACTAATGAGTTTTGCCGGGGCAAATCCTCAGCGTCAGTGCCAAGAGGTTTAACACACAGAGGTGTGGCTTCTGCACCTTGCAGGGAAGCTCCCCATGCACACAGCCACGTGCAGTTCTGCATTCTGGGTTTCATTAAATGCTTTACTTCCATTTGCAGGGATCTGACTCAGGAACTGATAATAAACCCGCCCAAACCTCTGAGGGCTGTAAGGGCGGTGTATGCCCGGTATCCCGCCCCGGAGCCACCCCGGCGGCTGCCCGGGGTGCGGCGCCTCTCCATGGTGCTGAAACATCCCAAGGACCAGATCCGCGAGCGGACTATTGGCTTTCCCCAAGCAAAAGTTCATTTCGAGGAGGAAAAGACCATGTCTTCTCTGTAGAGCCGGATATTTACAGATGAGGAAGGAAAATATTTGCATAATAGCACTGCAGCTCTTTTTTTTAATGAGGGAAAGGCAGCCTATTTTAGTACTGGCAGGAAAAGGCTTAAAAATAGTTGTCAGTTCTTCAAGTGAGAGAGCCTCCTTCTTCAAGGCAACCAAGAGTCTCCAAGATCTGTCAGATGTTAAAGTGAAGGTAAATTTTCTTACAGGCAATGGGATCTATGGCCATGTCCTCTCTACGCTAGTGTGAGAGTGGTGAGGAAAACAGATCCCTTGTGCCAAACGATGAAGCAGAGCAATCAGAGAATCATGTTAGAAATGCAATGTTTTTGAGGGATGAACATATGTAACTCCTTTGTTGCACTCCCTGCTAACAGGGAAGAGAGAGCAACTCCTGCCACTCTGGACCCTTCTCAAGAAAATGTTTCCATCCCAAGAATCAGTGGATATGAATAAACATGAAGATCTGAGGATGTCTTATTTATGATGGAAACTATCCGCTGTACTTAGTGGAGGAATGGGCTGAGGGAGCACAGAGACAGCTGGGAAACACTCAGACCATGGCTATACATTTTCCTATAATATTTTCTCTGTTTTTAACAAAGCAGAGAGAAAGCCAGCCTAGATACAACTTTAAGTGAATGCAGTGCACACAAGCTGCTAGCAATGCTTACCATTTAAAACCTTTCTTCCCTATTTTTCATGTCTTTGAATGTATTTTTGGCAGGCAAATTAAAACACCTGGCTTTGCAAATCATAGCAACTTTTGATCCTTTTGTGTTTTAAAGATGGAAATAGGATGAGATAGATGCTTCTGTACTGTAGATATGTAGGCAGATCTTTGACTCATTCTCTTAAAAGAAAAAAAATTCGGAACACCAGAAATCTTTCTGAAAGCCCTGATACATGAATCCAGAGATGAAAATGGATACAGGTAAAGGAAAAACAGAGACTAAAAAGGTAAAACTGCAGAAAGTAAGAGAGTGGTGAGATGTTTGAACAAGCTGAGATTAAAAAGAGGATACTAAAAAACAAACAGGAATTTAAGTACCCCCCCCCCCCCCCCCCCCCCCCCCCCCCCCCGGCTCCAATTTTTTTTTTTTTAAAAAGGACATTCAGGAAAGGATTCCTTCCTTGAGTCATGAAAAGGAGATACAGGCAAAGTAATGAGATGCCTAATCAGTCTCTAGTTTGCTGTCCTTGCTATATTCAAAACCATCTGCAACACCTGGAAATCAAGAGGCCAAAGAGGCTGAAAAATGTTAAGAAGAAAGGCAGAGAAAGAAATTATGTCATTTCTTCTCAGAACTGAAATATTGCCATATTCTTTAAAGCACAGCCACCAAAATGCATCCCACCTCCACTGAGAAATCAAATCAGCTAACACTGACTCATATCCTACTCTTCTTTTCTTATTCTTGATTAGTATGAATTGAAGTCTTGATGCAGGAAGAAGTGACATACACAACTCCCCCAAGCTCCAAGCTTGCAGTATTTGTCAGGAGGAGGTGCTGAAAGGAAACCATCTTTAAAGAAATTTAAATAACTAAAATTCACTGAACTTATACATATTAGTGGTTAATAATAACAACCAGAGTGTGTATTTACAATTAATCTTTGAAATTATAACCATCTTATTATTATTCAAACAACAGAAGAAAACAAGTCACTTGGAGATGTTACTTTTACACTCAGTGACAATGCTGTGTAATTAATATTTGACATGCTAGTCATAAACAAGAATGGACTGGTTTCTTCTTCAGGCTACTTAGTGAAACCTTTAGCTTTCTACATCTTTATGTTCAGTTTTCATCACCATGAAGTGGTTATAAACTTTTCATAAATTCTCAGAAGACTATATGGGAATGAAAAGGGGTCCCAGAAACGAATTAAGTGATAGGTGATCTATGAAGATTGCATTGGTAGACCTGAGACCAAAACATTCGGTTTCTTCCATGGATTAACAACAAAGTTCTCTGAAGAATGGCCTGAAATAAATGTGCTGATGATGTCCTTGGGCATTTTCTTTCACCAAGCAGAATTCTTGAAATTTTGAACAGTAAGAGGCCACCCAGTGTATAACTACGGACTGCAATGCCACAAGTGACTTGTAGGAAATTACACCGGGGCTTGCCAGAGGTATTTGTGCTTCTATGTATTTCCAGGAGGAGCCAGTCAGTTCTGCAAAGCCAGAGCTGCATGTTGATACACTTTGATAATACCACATTTTTTTATGCACACCTGATAACAAGGTATAAGTGTGAAGTAAACCAGTAGACCATTGAACAAATAAGAAAATGTGTGGGGAAAATGATACTTACACAGCAAACATCCTAGGACTGTGTACACAAAGGGCTCATTGCTAATCTTGTTAGCAATCTTGCACACCTTTTGTAATCTATAAAACAGAATTATCCACATCAATAATGAATCTCAGTTTCCAGACACCCTCAAAAAACTGCATAAAATTAAGGTAAAGTTTGTACTTGAATTTCAAACACCCTACACAGTGAAACTGTTATCTGATGGAAATTAATGAAATTATGTGTGCAAGATGCAATGTTAGATTGTACCTTAGCATAGTGCTCTAGAGGAAAAGTACAAGTGATGCAAGGAATTAAATTTCAACCAGGAAGTTTTAAATTTCAACCAGGAAGTTTTCTACTGGGATGTAGAAGACCAGGAATTTAACTCAGTAACTTGGAGGCTATTGTAACTATCACTATAACACAGTCAGAAGTCAGGCTTCTTCAAATATTTTATTGTTCCATTTCTTATTACTATTGATTTAATTCCATATTTTCCACATTTAAGTACATCTCCTAATCATCAGATTAAAGATACTAACCTCCCACTTCCAATCCCCCTGTATGTGCCCTTGATTTAAATGACCACCTGGTTCAAGTGGACCCTGAGTCACTACTGCCTTGCTCTCTGGTATTTGCTAACAAGAAATACATAGATGCTTCTCTTGCTTGATATGTATTTTAATAAAACTTAATATAAATTGTGCCAAACAGCAAGAAAGTGATTGCTATCTGGCTTTCAGTTCCTCAGAAAATATTTGTACAATTATAACCATGTCAGAAGGAGAGGAAATAACTCATCCTCAGACATCCCATGATGACTAAGGTGTCCCTGACAGAAAATATCAAACTCTTCTAAAGGCACAGGGAAAGATCTTGGCTAGGATCAGTCTGAGACAAATTTGAAGATTTATCTCTCCTTTTTAGAACAGAATATTTCAGGTGAATGGAACTCATTGTCTGCTTTGGGTTTGCTTGGTGCAAGGGGGAACAAAAACTGTGCTGTGGTTTAAATCACCCTTTTAATTTTACAATTTGCTTTGATAGTTGAACTAAAACATAAGTTCTTTATATCATTCAAAATGACAGTCTTGTTTTTGAATTTAAGAAAAGCTATTTAATTAGAAGAAAAATAATATTACTCTTTTTCTGGAGAAATAAAGTGACACACTCGGGCAATACATAAGAGTCCAAATAATATTCACATGCTCTGGATCCATGTGTCAAGGCATACAACATGGTATTTTTGTTGCACAGCATGTAATAGAAATATGCCTTGCCTACTCCAGTGTCTGCTTAGAAAGCTGCATGCATATATTTTGTGGATCAGCCATGGATTCCTACAATCCAGCTTCTAATAAGCATAAAAGTAAATGGAGATGAGAGCTGCTCCATCCCCTTTCAAACACTAAATCCCCTGATGTGCTGAGCAATGGTGAGAGAGCACCTCAACTACTCACAGACAGTGCTTCTAAGTGATGCAGCCAGAAGGTCCCATTGCTTTTTCATGTTAAATCCTGAAAAGCTTCCAAAGCACCAAACTTTGTCCACAGTTTGTGCTTACACATCCTTAATGAGATTCACCTTCTCTAAGTAAAACACACTGTTTATTTTCTACTGACTTTAATTGAATTGTCCATTGCACTAGAGAATGCTGAAGTAACTTCTATTTAAGGAATTTCTATTTTGGTTTGGGGTTTTTGTTTGCTTTTTATGCATTTTATCCAAGAACACTTCTATTTTCAGCGTCTCTGACAAAACTATATTCAGGCTGTGTTAAAGCAAAGCTTCTGCAGCCTCAGATAAAAAGTTTGCTTGATGAGAACTGAAAGTATTAAAAACAAAATGATGAATCAAATGATTTTCTGTTGCTTAACAATGGGCATATAATAGAAAATTATACTCACAAGCTGAAATATACAAAACCCCAAAGATATAACTCTACTATTTAGCATTAATAGAAGGTAAAGAATGGTTCAGATTTTATCTTGCACAAGGAAAGCTAAAGGGAGCAAGAAGGAGAATATCTACCCTCTGCATAAGCATGCCCTACTGATTTTTTCAGTGTAGTTTTGTTTTCATTTATTTCAGCAATACTTTAAAGGAACTCCATGATGTTCAGCTGACAGCAAGTGCACTAACAGAAAATCTTTATATATTAGAAGACCTTGGGCATGTTTTTTAATGTAGTCCTAAAGAGTAACTGTTAAAAAAGGACCAGGACATCAATCACTTAGTAGATAAAGTGTGTTGCTTTCAAGCAAGTATCACAGCTAGCAATAAAAAGTACTTTGCTACTTACAGGTTGGTGTTGAGCAGTCCCTTGTGTTGTGATACAGTCGATGAAAGTGCTTGCTGCACTCTGAGGAAAATGTGACTGGCCCTGTTTGAAAGTAAGGAGCAGTTAACAACAAGCTCTCAGTGTCACTGCTCTGCAGCTTCAATGGATGGCAACAGCACACAGCATTAAGTTTTTTCTTGGCTAAAACTGAATGTAGTCTTTTACCCTTAACTATGATGCAACACAAGTATTGTAATGCTAGTGAAATTACAGAAAGAAATTCTGTTTCTATGCCTTTATGCTCATGATATAGAAAATAGAAAAATGACACATCAAAATGATGGGCTGGTTTAGCCTTGAAATTCCAGTAATTCAAAATCAGCAGTAAAATTTCTTATATGGTGAAAAATAGAATGACAATTACAGTAGAATTTAGTTTGTTAAATAGTTGTCTAGTCTAATGTAGAAGGAATAATGCACCTAGACTGAGGATACTATTTATAAAGATAAATAAAAGCAACATTCTAAGCAAATATGAGTTTCTAACCCCTGGAAAGATTTCATGCACTAATGCTTTTAATTTTCACATAGATGGTTTATAAAATTCTTAATATACAGTGTGGGTGTTGAGGGGAAAAAAATGACAGCTGAATAACATCTAGGAACCTGATCTCCTGTTAAAATAATCCAAGTAAAAAGGCATACAATGTGCAGAATGCAGGATATGTTTCATCTTTGGCAAGGCAAATCCCTGCATGTCCAGGGTATAGTGTGCTGCTCTCTTCTTTGGATATACAGTGCCATCTGTTTACATTAATATTTGATTTAAAAAGTGTCCCTGCTTATGGCCAGGGAGTTGGAACTGTATGATCTTTAAGGTTCCTTACAACCCAAATCATTCTATAGGTCTATTTTTCTATAAAACATGTCTTAACTGTAACAAGTTGCCAACAACTCCTTCCAAAATTGCTGATGACCCCAGAAAGTATTACTGGTGACATTCAAGTTGAAAAGGAGAGCAAAAATGTAATACTTGCATCCTGTAACCTGCTTAGCAAGACTGTCACTGACAGCTGGGGATAAGTCTGATGTGGTTTGGACAGAAAACATTGACATAAACTGATGTTAAGTGAATAAGGCTAAATTTAAATGCAAATTTAGTACAAGTAGGAACCCTGAATACGAATAGCTTGCTTCAAGCAATGCTACAAAATGATTCACATGAAGCAGACCTTGTTGGCCAACTTTCCTTTCAGAGTAAGGTAGGAAGCATTTCTGGGAAAAAAATACTTGTTTCATAACTTGAAAGATGGTTTATGGGCCTGGTAAAATATATCAGGCTAATTCTTTCTGGGTGGTGAAGCCAAACCACCACGAGCTCCAGAGAAGATTCCTGCCTATGACATTTAACATACTTTAAGATTAGATTTATTTTACAGTAGTACATGGATTTCAGTAGATTTTTTCAGCCACAAATAAGCCTTTCAACAAACTGGAAGAGCAGCCTTTGCAAGTCTGAACTGGAATATTTTTGCCATTCTTTTTATCTTAGTGAGTAATTAGGCTCAAGAAAAAGTATGCAATTTGAAATTATCCAGCATATATGGAGACAACACTGACTTTTGTCACTAAATATTTCCATGTCCCTTCAGATAATATATGGTTTTCTAGCTCTCTTCCCTGTCATCAAAAATAGGCTGTTAATTTTATTGTGCCTTACAAAACACTCTGTGTCAGCTGGCTTTCCAAGCTAAATTGATAGATTACTTTATGACTCACAAGATTATTTATGATTTTTCCTATAGTCAAGGACTGTTACATACGGTTCTTATTTGGCTTTAAAATGTGTCTATTATTCCTGGCATATGAGAAGTGTGCAATAATTTTCTTAACCCTGAAACTGTAAAGATAATGTACTATAAAGATAATATTGATTTCAGCTTCTCTCTTTTTTTTTTTTTAGTTTAGGATGTCCTAATTCTGAACTAGTAAAGACTGTAATCAAGGAGTTTAATTAAAGAAGGCTGCTAGAAGATTATGATTGGAACAGAATAAAAAAAAACAAAGTTCCACTGTATTTTAAGAAAATGCCTATGGATTACAGGATCTAGTAAAACTATGAAAAATAAAATAAAATATAAAAAAACAGGCAGGAAACACCACCACTGAATATCTTAAGATACATTTTTAAAAAAGAGTGAAAGAGAGGAAGAGAGAGAGAATGAGAAAGATAAAGAGATAGATAGATAGATAGATAGATAGATAGATAGATAGATAGAAAAAAAAAGAAAAGGAAAGAAAACAAAAGGAAAGGAAAAGAAGGAAAGAAACTAACTGTAGGCAGAAATTCTTAACCAACAAATAAACTTTCAGTATTTTGGAATGATCCTGCTTTCCTCATTCATTCCAACTACTCTTACTCAAGGAATTCCAGCAATTTTGATAGCAATTAAACTAAATTCATGCAGAAAAGGACTATTAATTTAATGAATGGGTCCAGAGACATGCCTTCAACTAGTTATTTTCTCTTTTTCTCTTCTATGATTTACCACTCTCACAATAACTCCTGTAAAGCTCATGGCTGTTTTTCCCTGGTTTTGAGTAATTAAACTCAATCTGTATTCATTACTTAGCTTCCCCAGATTCTTATGTCCAGCTTTTTATGGTAGCTGAGGAGTTTCCAAAGCTAAAAATGAAAAGGAAATGGATTAAGTACTAACATAAACAAATCTCTCTTGTCTGTCCCTCCCAGGAGAGGAGTATTCAGTGTTCCTCTGTCACATGGCATAACATAGTTTGAAGCTCTGTGTTAATTTCTGTCTCATATTGACTGAAAATGATCAGGTCACAATTACTCTTGTTTACTGCAAGGGTGAAGGGCCAGCTGGCTCTGGCACACTTTCTGTAGATTCTGTTGGGTTGCAGTGAGCCATTGGCAGAAAGAACCTTAAAGTTGTGCTTATCCCAAGGGTTGGAACACACTTCCCCCATGCAAAAGAGACAACAAATACCTTCCTTTCTTGTCAAGCACTGCCTGAAATTTCCAGCAATGAGGAAATGCATAATTATTTCCAGTTCTCTTTTTCATGCTCCAATGTCCAACTATTTCTCTAGCTTTTAGTTTCAATACTTCAAATAACCCTCAAAATCACCATAAGATTTGCAGTATCATACTTTGAGACCTTCACTTTTCTGAGTTAAAGAATGCTGCAACTAGAGAGCAAAGAATCAGTGCAAATGCCTTGTCATTGGCAACTCATATTGCATATATTCAGAGGGTACTATATTTTTCTCAGTAGTTACAATACAGTTCCAAAGTTAAATGCATTATACAACTCCACCTCAGTTTTCATGTACTTGGTTGTAATCATCATAAACTTTCATACTCAAAACAGCAAGTTATTTTTTATATTTCATTTACACTAATTTAATTCTTCCTTGTTCTATCTGTTTCCACTATTAAAATAAGTTTCCACACACAGACATCATGAGACAGATGCAAAAAATCTTCCCTGATTTGGTAAAAACTGACTTGGCCACAAAGGTCTGTTTCTTAAAACTATGTGCAGTCCAATGAGAAGTTCTAAAATTAGTGAATGTGAAAATAAATACGGAATGCACAATAGGAGGATAAAAGTTAAACAATAACTTTTAAATAATGTTTTAACTTAGCGCATTTTGAAAGTTATTTTAGACCAGATAGTTCAGTTGATAATTCAATGAAACTAGAATTCTTCAAAAATTTCTATTTCTAATATATGCATATTTAACTTCAGAAATGTTAGCCTCAGAAATGTTGAGCTTCAAAAAAATTAGTGGTGTGATATTTCTAGCTATATAGAATATGCATATGTGGGAAAACACAAGCAGCTTCCTTACCTGTAAAATGTTTTATGAACTTGTCTTTTAGACTGGAATCTCTTGGAAAAATTTCTGAGGAGAGAAGAAAAAAAATTACATTTATGTAGCCTAGTAATTACAATAAAAGCTCTGAAAGCATAATATGCCAAAATGTCTGATGCACAGAGACCAAATAGATTCTGAAATTAACTATACTATTAATTTCTGTAGTTGTAGGAGTGTGGGCACGTAAACAACATTGTGAAGTATTTCAGGTAATTCCTAGATGAATACTAAGCAGTCATCCTAAGACACACAATGATTTTCTGACACTAATTTCTGCACATCTTTGGTCTGAGTGGGGCTGTTAGCATAGAAAGACTGAAAATAATATAAATATAAATTATCACACTTACAGTATGTAAGTACCTGAAGTATCATACTTACAGTATGTAAGTACCTGAAGAAATTATGTAAAATACATAGATAAATACAAAATAAATACTACTTTTTTGATTTTGAAATGACAAGTGCCTGAAGAGAAAATTCTCCTACAAATCACCCAAAATAGACATAGGCCATGCACATTTTCATTGCAATATTAGTAAAAAAATGGTCCTCCTCTCCTGTGAAAAGGACTGTGAATTTTAAAATATTCCCTTTCCATTTATGGCATTTTTTCCCAGAAAGTACAAGAGAGTAGAAGCCTCTAGTAGAACACACAAAAGAATCACAAAGAACAGGAAATGGAAATAACACAAAAGAGATAAAATTCCTTTTTCTTTCTTTTCCTCTTTTTTTCAATGGGATGCTGCCTCTGGCTGACAGCAGAAACATTTGATGTAAGTAAACACCCTCAGAACCAGTACAACTCCCCCTAGTCTCATGAATTTTCCACTGAAAAAATTATATCAATATTTTTGGGTACCTGCAGTTATTACTGGAGACACTAACAAGCTGCCTGTTATGTCAAATTCAAAGAACCTCCCTGGCAGTACGACAAGGAACATTGGTAACTTGCAGCCTTAGGACCTGCAGTTAAATACATTTATTCACTAAAAATATTTCCTTATATCTAAAGTAATTTTAAATCTTTCTACTCTCATACTTTTTTTTCAATTCCCAATTTGAGTTAACATTTAGCTCAGAAGAGAGCTAGTTTCCTTTCATACTATAGGAAGATGTTGGTTATCTGCCAAGATAAATTCTTACCACTGGCTTTAGGCAGTTTCTCAGAGGTCACATGGGTGTATTTTTAGGCTGGGATTTTAGGATAAAATGCCCAAGTCTTACTGGAACTCATCTAAGTAGGAAACCTGCTTCCAAGTAGGAAATCTATTTCACTTAAGATTCCTTAAATATATCAGTTTTAACTGATTTATTTTCTCATTGCAGAAGAAATGCCACCCCTTCTCCAATAAACTTAGCATTTTACTGATAAGAAATATCAGGTAGTTTAAAATTGTACAAAATGAAGAATATAAAAAGGCAAAATAGGGAAACAATTGGTGTGAGTTTTGAATGAGATGCCTCAAATGAACAAATGCTGATGAATAATCACTGCCTGGTGAAGCATAGGCTAGGAACTGACCATCCTTGCTCAGACAACGTACATTTAGATACAGACACTTGCAAAGTGCATAGAATTTCCTGTGGGAACAGTAGCTGCTTCTTGCCCCATAAAATTCTCTATTTGCCCCATAAAATTCTTTAGGAAAAGCCTGTATACAGCCAAAACCCCACCTCTTAATGGCCAGAAGGTGAAACAGGAGGACAGACTGATGCTCCGTCAAGGAGCTATGCACTGCAAGTATACAATTGCAGCTGTAGCTGTGTTGGGAAGCCTGAGAAGGAACACTGCAGAGTCTGCTTTCCATGAGCAACCCACACTGGCCCAGGGTTCACACCAGCCTACCCCAACAGGGAAATCTAGGTCAGTTGTGTGTAGAAAAGCAGCCGAGTGCGCCTGCCTGCGTGCCTGCTGCTCCCCTGCTGCGGCTGCCGTCCCTCCAGGCAGCAATCAGCTTTTCTCCATGTGCCCATGGCTCAGCTTCCTCCAAGGGCTCCTTTGCTTAACAGTGCAGTGCATGTGCTGGGTGAAACACAATCAGTGAGCCCCCAGCCCGGCACAAAAACAACCTAAGCTCATTTGTATGGGAATCACAGGCAGCACAGGTTCCTGGAACGCCTCTGGCTCTAATGGCAGAGGCAACTCCCCCTGAACCATGAATTGCCCAGCACAAGCACAAGCACAGTCATTTTCTCCCCTCTTCCAGCATTGCAGCCAAGCCCTTCTGTCTGTACACAACTGTGAGTCTGAGGTCTCAAAGGACTTAGCATTTCAATCAAACTAATGAACATCTCCTTTGAATACAATATGTGTCACTGACTCCTGATGACGCTGCAGCCAGAAGCAGGACATCAAGTCCATACATACTTCTGACAAGCTCTTCTATAGAGCAGCAAAAACTCATCATGAAAAAAAGCCCCTGAACTAGTTTTTTCTAAACAGTTCTTAGTTGCTCCAGTCATATTTTATGTTTTATCTATCACTTATTAAGGTGTCCATTTTCACAACAAAGGCTCATATCCTCACAACGCAAGCTAAATTCCTTTGACATACTAATTTCACAAAAGAAAAGCAGAAGCATTAATATAATAAAATAGATCGGCAAAGTATTACTAAAATCAAAACACTTCAAAGGCACACTGTGAAAAACTAAAAAAGAAACAGGAAAATGAAAAAATAAAATGTTTTAAGTGCAAAACCCACATAAATGGGAAATATTGAGTGGAAAGATCTTATTCAATATAATCTTGCCTCAAGATTATATTAAACAAACTATTAAAATATAGCCAGTATATATCCTATGGGATATAGTAACATTGGTTTTATTAATCTGGGAGAATATTTAGGCTGTGGCATTCTTGTGCCCAGGCTTACAAAGTCTGCACTGCTCACCACAGAGTACATCTGGGTTAAAAGGCACTTGAGCTATTGACTCTGTGTTCGTTCTGAGCATAATCTCAGTTTATAATCATAAATAACATTAGTTCTAGGATTTATTTCATATCTACATTAGGACTTCGATGCATATCCTTCGATATTTACTCATCCAGGGCAAAATATTGTCTGTCCTTCCAAAGACAGCACTGGCCATGGGCAACTATTAAATGGTGCTAAGATGGATTTCCTATTGGCTCTTCTGTCCAAAATAGCAGAAATATTTATGGTAAACTCTAGGGACAAGACAAATTTTGAGGGTTTTCCAGCTCTGCTTCACAGACAGAATGGTTAAGTTTATAATGTAAAGTTGGTTCTAAACCAATTCATACTGTTAGTTCTATCAAGCTATGACATTTCAGAGATCTCACAGCTTTTGGTAAGAGGTGACTAGATCTGCCTGAGTTTTATCCCAGCTGGGATAAATGTGATGATGAGGAGAGCTAGCCAGCTCCAAGCTACAAATCAGTACGCAACACCTGATCCAGCTCCTCTCTCTCAAATTTTGTTATAAACTTTCCAAAGTTGATTAACCACTGTTTTAAAGCTAATTCCCAAGAAGATTATTCTTTCAGTTGTTATTCTGCACTCAGCAGCTGACAGGAATGTTTAATTTTTCACTAATTTGAGTTAAATTACAAAAAGCTCTGAGATTAAATAAACTACAGCCTGATCTCAGTGCTTTAAGTTCTCAGCTTGCAACTGAAGACATAGTTGCTCCACCTTCAATGGGTCTTTTCACCTTTCTGTGCCTTCAGTTTCTCTGTGTTTTGGCTGTTCAGACTGCAAAGTTGTGACAGCACATACTGATTTTTACCCTGTGTTTGCACTGTCTCCTGAATCATGTCACCACAATTGTGCCAGGAACATTCATGTTCTAATGGAGTATAAATAAAAAGAACTGTGATCACAGCCCTGAAATAAGCCAACTCCACACAACAGTTTGTTGACTTGGAACACAAAACCTCCACATCCTCAGGCACAAAATTCAAGATCTCCATTTGTTTATGCTCCCAACAGACAACTTTTGTATATTTTTAGTTTATTCAGAGAATTAGTGTAAATTGGACAGCAAAAGTGCTCCACTGGTCAAGGCTGGGCCAATCAGAAATGCTGGTGACACCTTTGCGATAACATATTTAAGAAGAAAATAAGAAGAAGTTATTGTACAGCCAGAGAAGAGCAGATTGAGAACATGGAGAGGAACAACTCTGCAGACACCAAGGTCAGTGGAGAAGGAGGAGGAAGGGGAGAAGGTGCTCCATCATGCTTGAGCTGAGATTCCTCTGCAGCTGGTGGTGCAGACCCTGGTGATGCAGCTGGGCCCCTGCAGCCCATGGAAGTCCAGGGGGATGCAGAGATCCACCTGCAGCCCCTGGAGGAACCCCACACCAGAGTAGGTGGATGCCTGAGAGGAAGCTGTGAACCTGTGGTAGGCCCACGATGGAGCAGAGTCCTGGCAAAGATCTGCAGACCCATGGAGAGAGGAGCCCACTCTAGAGCAGGTTTCCTGGCAGGACTTGTGACCACCTGACAGGCTGGTCCAATGGGAAACCACATTGGACCAACCTGTCCTTGAAGGACTGCGCCCCATCAAAGTGTGGCCAACATAGCAGCAGTTTGTGGAGGACTGTTCCCCTTGGGATGGGCTCCAGTTGGAGAGGTTCATGAAGAATTGTCTCCCATGGGAGGGATACCATGTTGGAAGAGCAGCAGAAACAGACCTAACATCCATTCCCTGTCTCCCTCTGCCACAGAGGGGGAGGAGGTAGAGCTGAGAAGAAATGAGGGGTGGGGGAATGTGTTTATAAGGTCTTGCATTACTTTTCATTATCCTGCTCTGATTTTTTAAGCAGTAAATTCAATTAGTATCTCTAATTCCAGCCTGTTTTGCCCATAACAGTATTTGGTGATCGATCTCTCCAGGTCCTTATCTCAACTCATGAACCTTCATTATGTTTTCTCTCCCCTGTCCAGTTGCATAGGGGAGTGATAAGAGTGGCATTTGTGTGTGTCTGGCATGCAGCTAGAGTCAATCCATTACAGTTGTGCATTTTCTTGTTTCTGTCTGTGAAACGGCAGAAGAAAA